AGGGAATCATCAAGACAAAATATTTCGACGTTATGCGAACGAGTGACGTTAACTATGGTAGTGTTCGTCTGGTGAGTGAGGTACTCGGGGCCCACTTTATTAAAAGGTGGCAACGCATCTGCAAATTGTGTTGCAAATGTATATAGGCGGTGGTTATCACTTAACATCAGGTGAACCACCAGCTCGTTTGCCACCTTCTGACATAAAAGAACATAATTATTGAGTAGTATTGAGCGGCCTCTAAGACCAAGCTATAAACAGTCCGTAAGACCTCTTACATTATTATAAAAAGAGAAAGCGGATACGTAACACGCACTAGGAGAGACGATCTAGAATTGAATCTGAAAAACTTTGAAATAATGTATGCATATCATATCAGTATCATACACTTTGACGTTCGTTGGTACATTTTCTGCGAACTCGTGTTTGTGTACTGTCGACGTGTTCATATGTCTTCGTGAACAGAATTCTAAATCCTATATAATGAGCGTTTCTAGAAGTAAGTATTATTATTACATTTAATTTAACTATTGAAAAATAGTGAAGCTCATAGTTCCGGCACGATAATCACTTTAATTTACTTTCGTAAAAATTTATTCATGTTTAGGTTTATTTTTATTCAATTTTGTGAACTAGACAGCCACAAGAGATTAACTCCCTCGAGAGGCCCAATTTTTCTGGTAAATAAGTAAGGAAATTAAAAACAGTAGAAAGAACAAAATAAAAAAATGGAAAGCTTATTTTAATGTTTTAGATTAAAAGGATTTTTTTACTTATTTATTAATGTGAGTATTTGGCAAGCGAGCAGGTGATTCACATTGCGCTAAATGATTATCGCCGTCCATGGACCTATATAATACTTGATAAATATTGTATCAGATTGCTAACCATTAAAAAAATGTTCCCGATTACCTCATTCACCAGACAGAACGTGAGCGTATAATATTTCCATTACACAACTGCCGTTCTTCTATGAAGTCTTGATACTTCTCTTTTCTTGGTACTTCCATTTTCAATAAACTATACATCGTAAATTACATTTTAATTTACAAAGTTATATGTCATTGAAAATTCCAAGCAATTTCTACTTTTGTCTTCTTGTTTTGTGAGTTTAATTGGTAATTGGAACAAACGTCGAGTTTGTGTTTACCGGTGTTCAAAGTTTCTAGGACCATGGAACTTCAAGGCTTTCATTTATTAAGTATACCTAGTATATCTTTGAAATAACAATATCTAAGGGACGTCCGAAATAATATAATATTCCGAAAATTTTGCATAGCTCAAAATCAACCATTTAAAACGCAATATACGTTATGTTAAAAGCTAATAAAGTGTAATGTATCGAATGAAACACGGACTATCGCAAACTGATGTATTTTACCAAGACACAGATTATTGTGACAGTTTTTGCGGGTAGCATCGAATAAACTAATAAAAACATGACATTTACCTCCTCTTAAAACAAAAACAATATCATTTAAATTTAAATAAAACTAAAAACAAAAAATGGTTAGAGAGATGTGAACAATAGAAGAACAATGCATTAAAGGAACATAACATATAAAATAACTTATTATTAGTTAGGTACAAAATAGTTTAACATAATTTATATGCATAATATGAGCAACAAAGAGTTTTAATTATATTTTTGAAGGTTTGACTACGCTATTAAATTACTTATTTTTAAGACGGGATCTTAATTTCATAGCATGCGGAGTGTAAGTTCGGTGTTGGCGCGTCTGTCCGGGACGTTCTGCAAACTCATCTTTCGCAATACTTAAGGGAGTTGGTGTAGGGCTATTACTAAGGTAACCCCCACTATTTCCTTCCACATTGCTATTTAGGGTGCAAGAAACTAAATTATCTCCTGAAGAAACTGATTCATTTAACGGAGTTGACCAACCATCGTTAACATCTTCATTTATTTCCTCTGAACCTTTAGCATGGGCTGGACACACACAGGATAGAGAATGGCGTGATTTTCGAGACGTTTTACTTAAAATTTGGTCTATGTGTTTCTTGACGGTCCTATTATCCTCAGTGTCAACGCGAAAAGACACAGGTCCGGTTTTATCTACTACCACCCCTTCCTTCCATTTAATATCTTTATTTGAATAATCACGGAAAAGTACAGCATCGCCGGGAGCTATGTTGCGTGAAACTCCACCTTTCCTCTCCGTTTGAATGCTCTGTTTCTCCTTAACTATATCTGCGGTTACTGGACGCAAAAGATCAAGCCTACCACGTAAACGCCGCCCTAACAGCAAAACTGAAGGTTCTTTTTGTGTCGTACAGTGTTCCGTATTTCTATATGTAAAGAGAAATTTACACAGAGTTGTGTTGTAATCTTCATTATCAACAGACGCTTTTTTAAGGACTTGTTTAACTAATCGAACTGCATTTTCAGCCGCAACATTACTTGCCGGATGATACGGGGCGACTAAAATGCGTTTAATACCGTTACTCTCTAAATAATTTAAATATTCTCTTGAAGAGAAGGGTGGACCGTTGTCACTAACTATGGATTTCGGAAGACCGAAACGTGAAAAAATTTTACGCAAACAAGAAAGAACTGCCTGTGCTGAGGTGCTCGAAACGTTTTCCACTTCTATCCATTTTGTATTGGAATCAATTAAGACAAAATAATATTTATTCTTAAACGGCCCTAAAAAATCGACATGAAGACGGGTCCAAGGCTCTGTCGGCCATGGCCAAGAGTGTAGCGGCGCGGGCGGCGGCTCACTGCGCTGCGACGAACAAGCGTTGCAATCGCGACATATTTTTTCTATGTCACTGTCTAATCCCTCCCACCATAAATAATTTCGAGCTATTTGTTTCATTTTTACTACGCCGATGTGACCGCTATGTAATTCACGTAGTACAGCACTTCTAAGAGTTTTGGGTATAATAACACGATAGCCCCAAACCAAGCAACCGTGTTCTAGAAACAAATTATCCTTTTTATTAAAGAATACTCGCTCGCTTTCATTTTGCATACGTTCTGGCCAGCCAAATTTTACATATCCAGCTATCTTTGTTAATTGACTATCTTTAAGAGTTTCAGCTTTAATTTCGTGAAACGTGACCGGTAATCGATATTCTATAAAATTAAAATAACTCCCTTCGAAAGTATCACTAGCATCTCTTACTGTCCGCTGCATAGGTAGACGCGAAAGGGCATCCGCAAAAAAGTTTTTCGATGATGGGACGAATTCAATATCAAAATTATATGCAGCTAATTTAATCGCATATCGTTGTAAGCGACTTGCCGCTATTTGTGGAATGCCTTTGTTTTTACCGAAAATAAAACTAAGAGCACGATGATCGCTACGCAGTAAAAAATGTCTATTGAACAAGTATTAGTGGTGCTTTGTTACGCCAAACACAATCGCTAACGCCTCTTTATCTAGTTGCGAGTAGTTGCGCTCATGAGCGTTTAGAGTGCGCGATGCACAGCTGACCGCGCGCTCTGAGCCGTCGGGATAGCGGTGCATTAGCACCGCGCCTAAACCGTACGCACTACTGTCCACAGAAAGGATTAACGGCAATTTATAATCATAATGCGCCAACACCGGACCACTGCTCAGTATGCGTTTAATCTTTTTAAATGCAATTTCACACCGTTCATCCCAAAACCATTTAACATCTTTTTTGAGCAAATCGTATAAGGGTTTTAATATGTCGCTTATATTAATGCAAAATTTGGCATAAAAATTCACGAGCCCAAGAAAACTTTTTAATTGTGTTACATCTTTTGGGGTGGGAGCGGCCACAATCGCTTCCACTTTCTTGTCATCTGCGTGTAGGCCGTTCTTATCTATACGGTATCCTAAATATGTAACACTATCTTGAAAAAATTCGCATTTTGACAAGTTAACACGTAATCCCACATCTCTTAATCTACTCAAGACAGCTCTTAAGTTTTTAAGATTGCTTTCTTTATCTTTTCCAGAACAACAAATATCATCTTGAAATACAACCGTTGACGGCAATCCATTAAGAATTTCTTCCATAATTTTCTGAAAATTTTCGGGTATACATTTAATTCCAAAAGGGACGCGCTTATAAACAAAAGTTCCTATATGTGTAGTTATTGCAGTCATCGGTTGAGATTCTTCTGTTAATACGAACTGTTGATAGGCGTGGGACAAGTCGAGTTTTGAAAATACCGCCCCTCCCGATAATTTAGCAAAAATCTCTTCTATGCGAGGAAGTGGATAATGAAAATCTTTTAATCGAGAGTTAATGGTTATTTTGTAGTCTCCACAAATGCGTATGTCTCCATTCTTTTTAATAACAGGAATAATTGGGGTTCCATAATCGGAACACTCCACTTTGTAAATAACACCGTCGCTTTGCAAACGTTCTAGCTCTCGTTCTACTGGCGCCCGTAACGCGAGCGGCAGCGGACGCGCCTTAACAAAAAGCCGGACTTTTATCTGCCAAATGTAACTGTATAGGAATTTTACATGTCCCAAGCCCATCGGTAAAAACATCGCAGAATTCTTTTCGCAAAATGTCAATAGGTTCTGTTAAACCATCGGATATATTGTAAAAATCATTTATGTTTACACCTAAAAGCCGTATCCAAGTACGACCCATTAAAGGCGGACCACCGTTTTTAATTACAAAAAGTTGAAGATTTTCCGATCGCGCTCTGTAAGTAACTTGCACCACAATATATCCGACTGGTGTTATTACATTGCCGGTATATGACTTTAACGTTAGAGATTTTTTATGCAGTTGTACTTTAGAAAACAAAACATCATAGCATGACTTTGAAATAGCCGAAAACTTACAACCAGTATCGACTTCGAACTGCATTGAATAATTATTTATTTTTAAATTAATGTAATATGGGTTGTCCTCACCATCATAGGATAAATTATAAAAGTTTAGACTATCTTCTGTATCGGAGTCAACTAAAAAAAATTGACCTTTGGTTGTTCTTAATTGTTCTGATTCGCGATCACCTTCGAACTTACGGCACATAACTTTTAAATGTCCTTTCTCACTGCACTTATCACAATGATACGCCTTGAAACGGCACCTGGCTGCCGCATGACCAACTCTGCCACACCGCGGACATGGGCTACGTCGCACCGCTGCCGCCCCGGGGGACGCTGCCGGTGTAGATGAAACGCGCGCATCGCCCGCACGATGTAGCTGGCGCTTCCCTGCCACCGCTGCCACGCGATGGATGCCATCGGATGGAACAGTGGCAATGCTGCCGCTGACCGCTGACGTTGCTGCATGCCTATCAGCCGCTTCTAACGCCAGGGCTAGCTCCACCACCCGTTTATAATCCAAATCACGTTCAACAAAAAGTCTAGATCTCATATCCTCGTGAAGGAGACCAGACACAAATTGATCTCTCAAATTAACTTCCAATGTCGTTCCAAAATTGCAAGTCTTGGCTAAGTGTTTCAAACATTGCAAATACTCGTTTACGGTCTCCCCCGAAACTTGCTTTCGTTGCCTGAAAACGTGTCGTTCTGCGATTTCCGATCGTTGTGGCTCGAGATGCAGTTTCACAATTAACTCAAGTTCTTCGAAAGACTTTGCTTCAGGTAAATCGGGCGCGCATAGGTCACACATTAAATCGTAACAGGTTACCCCAACGTGAGTCACTAATGTGGCCACGTGTAACTCTTCCGGAATGTTATTGAGTACGATAAACTGTTTAATTCTTCTGCAATACGCATCCCAATTATGCGTCCCGACTTCAAACGTTTCAATCTTTCCAATAGGCATTGTAGCTGCTCCAAAAAGTACACGTACTTATGTCTCTTTTTTTTTAAAAAAATTAAACCGACTGCGCCAATGTAATGCATCGAATGAAACACGGACTATCGCAAACTGATGTATTTTATCAAGACACAGATTATTGTGACAGTTTTTGCGGGTAGCATCGAATAAACTAATAAAAACATGACATAAAGGTTCGTTGGGATTTCATAAAAAAGAATTTATGCTGTTGATGTCTCTTTTCTTTAAGTTTCTTTAGTTTTATGAATCTCTGGTGTTGCTGGAGAATGGGACACGTTTTATAATATAAACAAATAAAGTATGTCCTTACAAGTAAAACATTTTATTCTGCTCAATGAAAGAACACACCAGTGCGTAAAAGCAAAGCTAATCAATCAAAACAGAGAACCGATAAAATGAAACGAATACTTTCCGGCATGTTTTTTGCTACTAAAATTCTGATGCTGGTAAGTAGTCACATCATGCGCAGTGATGTAGTCTCAGAGGGTAAACGCTTTAATTAAATAAAACCTATTTGTTCTTGCCCTGAAGACAGTGATACTGAATTCCGACACGAAAACTGACACTGACAAATTATTCTAACCTTTTGCTGTAGGTAAATTCAACGAGACAGCAATCCTTTCATTTTGTATTCGCAGAAAATCGAAAACAAAAAGTTGTAGGTCCGCTTTTAACCATTACGATCATTTGTTTTAGTCTTGTAAAGCTCAAAAGTTAAAATAATTTATATTGAAATTATTAAATATTTATTATTGATCAATTTGTAGATATTTACAAACTCGGAAAAGAAATAATAAATGTATACGCTTTTTAAACTTATTGTTGTCACAAGCCAAACACTGCTAGCTCTTGTTGCGGTGAAGGCAAATATTCTTCCACAAAATATATATTGATAATACAATAGAGGAAATTCACACTAGTAAGAAACGAGACAGTACTGATGTTGGACGAGTAAAAAGGACAGAATGGATCCCTTAAGACAAGACGTTGTCATTCAAGACCTTCCATTTGGAAAAGAGCTAGGATAACTCCAGTATTCAAAGGGGGGTCAAAAAAAGATATCACGAACTATCGACCCATCTCAATTCTTCCTTCTCTGTCCAAACTATTTGAAAGTACATGACATAATTACTTGTATCCCATTTTCCATAAATTTATCCTCCCACAACAGCATGGGTTTGTTCAGAGACGTACTACTGTTACTAACCTCGTAGTATATGCATCTAACCTGTTTGATAATATGGATGCAAATAAACAAACAGACAGTGTATACATGGCTTTCCAGAAAGCTTTTGATAGAGTAGATCACAAACTTTTATTGGAAAAGATTGCCTTTAATGGAATTCGTGGTAGTCTCTGGAGATGGTTTAAATCTTATGTCTCGAATAGAACACAACTGGTTGTCATTAATGGACATGAATCAGACTCAGTTTTAATAACTTCCGGCGTGCCACAAGGGTCAATTCTTGGCCCATTTCTATTTACCCTCTTTATTAATGATATTGATAATTGTTTTAAACATAGTCACTTTTTATTATATGCAGATGACCTAAAAATATATCGTACCATTATTGATAACATAGATCACTTTAAACTTCAAGAGAATTTGAATCGTTTCTCTACATTTTGCTATATCAATACGCTTAAACTTAGCATTGAAAAGTGTAAAATTATCACTTTTACTAGAAAGAGGAGGAGAAGTGAATATGTCTATTCTTTATGTAACAAAAACCTTAAAAGGGTAGACACCATTAGAGATCTAGGAGTCATACTTGATAGTAAGCTGACCTCATATTGATTACATTTGTAACAAAGCTTACCAAATGTATGGCTTTGTTTTACGCGCCAGTAATAACTTTAAAAGACCAGCTACATATGTTCATCTTTACAAATCTTTGGTACGTTCACAATTAGAGTATGCCATTACCGTCTGGGATCCCTTTTACAATAAATATTCTGACAGCCTTGAAAGGGTACAAAAGAAATTCTTAAAATGTATGCATTACAAGTGCCACCATGCAAATTTATCCTATTCCAAATTATTAAATAATTATAATCTACTTAGTATAAAACATAGAAGACTTTTTATTCAAATGATGTTGCTGTATAATCTTTGCCACAATAAGTTTGACTGTGTAGACATAATAAATAGATTTTTTTATAGAGTGCCGACAAGGCCGTATGCGAGAACCAAACGATTGTATCAGTTTTTCGAATTACCAAAGACTCAAACAAACACCGGTAAACGATCGCCGGTATATCGCCTGGCGGACATATATAACAAATATTTTACCGAAATCGATATATTCACATCTCATGTTAGTATTTATAGAACTGCCATTATAAAAAAATTGTATGAGATCAACAACATAGTTTGATATGAAATTAAGAAAGAGGTAAAATTATTGCCCAATTTGTTAAATTACTTTTACATTTTGTTTCATAGGTTGTTGTTGATGTTTATCTCTCAATCCTGGATAAGTAATCTGTGGTAAATGGTGTTGGTGTCACAATTATTGAACTTGTATTGTTATATTTACTTTAAGTTATTCTTCTTTATTGTGACACTGTTTATTTATCCCAAATAAATTAAAAAAAAAAAAAAGACGTCAACCCCGTAATCGTATATAATAGTACTATAGGACGCTAGATAGTACACGTGTTATAACACTGAGTTCGGTTGATCGGTTCGGTGGAGTGATGTAAAGAAGAAAGTTATGTTTATGTAACATAAAAGGGTTTCATAGCCATATAATATAATATATATATTATATGGCTATGAAACCCTTTTATGTTCTCTTGAAAAATCAGAACCCAACATCTTTTGCACGTTTGATATATTAATATACTTAAATATGAAAATGTATGTATATTTATAAGTAGTTTATTTTATATGTTTTTGTATATAAAAGTATTTATATTTCTTTTTTGGTTTATTTTTGTCTAATATTAAATTTAGTTAGTTTTATTATTGCACCTGCCTAAAGATCTCACCATACCATAGGTTGACTGGCAGAGAATGCCAAAAGGCATTAAGTCCGCGTATTGTTTCGAATTCACGTGAAGTAAATAAATCTAATATTATAAAATTCTCGTGTGACGGTGTTTGTAATTGAACTCCTCCGAAACGGCTCGACCGATTTTCGTTTCGGAATTTCAAAATTTTGTGTGCATATCGGCCAGGGTGGAGAATCGGACAACATCTTTTTTTCATCCCCCTAAATGTTAAGGGTGGTCCACCCCACATATTTTTTTCTACCATACAAATTCCTTACAAATAATTTATACGGCAAGACAACGTTTGTCGGGTCAGCTAGTATTATATAATAAAAAACACATTTATTTACATTAGCATTACTTTATATATTTTCTTTGATCAAAGTAATCAAATGTTCCGTCATCACATTTCCTGCAAAATCATGCTGATGATTAGATATTAGTTCAACAATATGGTCGATTTGCTGATTTAGCTTACAAAAATAAAATAAAAGTAATTTAAAAAATAAAAGACACCTAATATTGAGATGTTTATCATTATTACATAACTTAATTTTTCGTCAGGCTCTTTGCTGCTGTATTTAAAACACTTGGCAGCTGAAAAATATATTCATTTAAAGCATTTATTACAAGCCAGTACTCACTATAAAAGTATGCTACCATTCCCACAAACAGGTTGAAAAAATTAAGTCATTTATTTAAAAACTCTTGGCGCTCTGTAAATGTTGTATTAGCATACATATTATTTAACATTTAAGGGAGGAGACATTTTTGCTCTGTTTGTAGCCTTTCCCTGAATTTTAATATTTTAGGTGGCAATTTACATATTACACAGAATTCTAAAAAGGTTATTTTTATTTTAAGATTATGACACATGACCTGATGGTTCACGTGATGGTTAGGGATATAATAACATCACTAGTGTACCGACTTCACTTTGTTATTAAGACGTTAATAACATTTTTATTTATTTGAGTACTAACTTACGTACTAATCATAAAATAGTGACTTATATACGTCTAATCTAAATCAATATTAGTAAATTTAGATGTAATAATTTTTTATCTTCTATTATATTATGCTACAATACATAACATGCAGCGAAAATATTTTGCTTTAAATGAGAGCAGTCAATTGCGTGACCTGAACGCATTTTTCGATTAACATTTAAACAGCTGTCGTTTCAATCTGCATTTTAGAGCTTGTATTGTCTTTAAGTTATATCGAATATTTTTTTTTAATTTCTATTCATGGAAACGTATAAAGTTAATATTTTTACAAATAAAATTTTACTGATCCGAGAGAATATTACGTATGTACGTACGTCTTATGCACAATATTATATGAAGATATCAGCGTAAATTATATTTTCTTTAAATTGTAGTACTGTAGTTGAAAGATGAGGCCTGTTTAATTTTAGTTCTTGCTTAAGTATAGAGCAATTTAACCTAAGCGTATATAACTACATATTCATAATTGGATATCTAAA